GATTAGGAAAGGAAAAAAAAAAACATTCACAATGCCTGATTTTAATTAGCCTGTAAGACACAGTGGCTGCTTTTTATTAAGGCTAACAAGAGATAAATTTCTGTCACCTGTTCTATCTGATAAGGGAGGCTCTTTGTTGAATTTTATTCATTTGATTAAGAATGCTATTTTGTTTTATATATATATACACACATACACTTAAATGTAAAGAACAATGTGTGCGTGTGCTCACTATCCAAAGCTGATCCCTGTCAGGTTCTGGGAAGATTAATTTCATTTGTCTTCCACACTGTATCATCAATTTATCCTTCCCCAGTTGAGAGAGGGTGGAAATCTCTGAGGTATTGTGACTCTGGAGAGCAGAACCTGACACGCATGGCCCAATTCCCACAGAAGTAGCTTTTATTATTAGGCCTACACACAGCATAGTACAAGTCATTACTTTTTCTGTTGCTCTAAGCTCATCTGAGGAATCAGGGTTCCCCAGGAGAGCAAACGGCCACAAGATGCAGTCCGACTTGGCTCCAACCAACCAGAAATCATACAAAATATTTGTTCAGGGATCGGACGCATAGCCGTTTAGCAACAGAAACACTAAAACGTGACTTGACAGTAGTTACCTTCTAAGGTATTTTGTGGCTGTTAAAATGCTTCTCAGAACAAAATTATTTGTACTTTCAGTTATTTTTTCTGTGACTGGAACCCTGTGTTTGACTTGATAATGTTATATTTATTTGCTTTAGCCATCAAGGAAATGTTTTTATTATTGTTTTTATTATTTTTTTTGTTTTCTGAGTCACATGCCAGAAGGAAATTTCACTATCGCAGTTAATGCCGATTACGGTTCTATATCTGTCCACCAATGATGCGATTAAGCTGTGATGACACTTTATTCCCACCTACATTACTATATTGAATTTTTATCTGTTCATCTTTCTCTGCGGGGATTTTAATAAATGTGGATTCAGGTTGTTTTTGCAAAGGAATTCAAATCCTTTTCCTCAAGACGTCTCATTTTTCAAACAAATGAAAATTGTGAAGGCCTTCTTTTAAACAAGTGGGATTGGGTAATAATTGAGCAGGAGCGTTTTTGCTTGTTTCATATATCTGTCTGTTTTTAATCGTTATTTTCTATCCCTTGAAAAATCAGTATGTGCAAGTCTTGTTTTTCTTATCACCAATGCTCCTCACTTCTGACAGAGTTGTGCATTATTATATTTCACTTGCCCATTGTGTCTTGGTTTGCAGCCTAATCGCATATGATCATACCGTATTTTCGAAAATATATATTTTTTGCTTTCTTCCAATAAAACTGGCTTTGACAGGTTTGGCAGCTGATAGATTATTGTACAGGACGCATGGCTTGAAAGTCTCTGCAGTCCCTGTATTATGTAATTTAACTGTACATACTGTAGATACTGTGTTGTGTTTGGAGGTGATAAGTCACTACAGTGACATGATTAATGGCTGATCTTGTTTATATAAATCACAGTTTAAGCAGAGTATCAGTCACCTTCTGTTTTCTCTTTTTCACCCATCATTAGTGAGTGTGTTCCCCTGAGTGATTGTACAGTGCAATCAGCACATTGTTGCAGTTTCCTCAGTCAGCACTTTGTTGGATGATGATGTTCCATCCCTTGCAGTGTTTTTTGTTATTGTTGTTTAGGCTTCAGTAAATTAAATCTTTTGCTAGGTTAACATTTTCTGTCAGTCTTTAGCACTGTGTGTCCTCATCTGAGATAGAAATGCACATTCCATACTGTACCAGATTACTTTTGCTGCTTGTTTAGACATTTTCAGTGAATATGTTAGGTGTTAAAAATATAAACTAACAATGAAACACGTCTTTATCACTGAAAGGGAACAAAAACACATTTTGTATTTCTTCATGTATAATATGTATGTATTTTATGACATGTTTCATTTCCATCCTAGGAAACAGAGGATGTGTTTGAAAAATAACCCTAACCGTAAACAAACACGGTAATTGGGTAGTAAATGCATTGTTTTTACTAAGCATATTTCAGTAAATGGAAAATGCTAAAAACAAAGTGTAGTTGTTTAATCCGAAATAATAAATATATCTAAATATTTTTAACTGGTCACAAGGATTTAGTACATACTCTGCAGTGCATTGTTTAAGCAAACTTACAAATATTACATCATTTTCATTCATTTAAATTATTTATGCAAACACCCTTCTAGGCCAAAAATTAATTGCACATGTGCAAAAACATATGTCTTTTTGTTGTGATTATAGACAGGGCATTACAATGCCATGTGGCTGTCTTAAACAGATGTGTATATCCACACTGTCTATGTCAGTAAGATATTACTCTGATATTTATTTTGCTTTCTTATAAACAGGCTGATAGCCTTTTTTGAAATATGCCCTTAGTAATGGAAATAATATAATGGCTACCTTTACACATTTAAATGCTGCTGACAAAGTTTAATTGATTTGGATCAAGTAGCTGAATAAAATTAATTAGAATTACGGAAGCTAATTCTTATTTACTGTTTATTAATTTAATTAGCTGAATTTCTCTTGTCTGATTATATGAAATAATATCTGTTCAAGTTGTTAGAATTTTTTTTTTGTTGCTGTTTCAAACTCTTAGTTAAGTTGAAAGATCATAACTTTCTCACATGCCCATCTTTATGTTCTAGTATTTAGTTCAGTGTGAAAAACCAGCCCACGTATCATACTGATGATGAACATTTGTATTTGATGGTGTCTCCACCGTAATCAGTTCACAGGTGATATGACACAGCATTGCATGCTATGTTTGAACTTGTATAATTTAGGGTACAGCTCAGAAAAAGTCAGTTTCACTCATTTTGTTTCACTGATTTGGTTTGAGCATTTCTTCCTCTTTTACATCACAGTATTACCGTATCATTATTTTGTCGGACTTTTACTACTGAGTAAGGAAAGTACAGGAAGATCGTTTTAACCTTTCGAAGTCGGAAACTGAGTATTCTGCTCTTTGTAAAGATTTACCTTTGGTTAAATTAACCAAATCTGGAACGAAAGGAATTGTTTTGTGAAAAAGGGAAAGAGATCAATTTTGTGTACAGTAGAGACAGTTTATTCTATTTGTGCTTTTTAAGACACACAAGGCAATAAATAATGTTTTGCTCCTGTTTGTTTTCATCTATCTCAGCCTGCAAATGAAAGCTAACCACATGATTAATGATGGGTGAGCCGTCATTTTTCTTCTCTCGATTCCAGTAAGTTTCCAGGAGATTTCAAGGATACTTTATAATCTTCCCGCTATGGCTAAATAACAGCTATTCAAAAAGCCCTGCTTTTTAAGAGAGACACTATCCTTTATTTCATTGATTAATTTTTTTAAATAATGAAAATACTTTTGTGGTTACACTGTAAGCTAT